CTAATAAGTTATTCTGATTAACCAGTTTGTGACACAACCAGATAATGTCCAATAGGCCATCTCCAAATAAGGAGTGTGGGCCACAAACTATCTCTTTCTCAGACAAAGAGGTCCTGATGCTGCTTAACCTTCCTCCAGCTTTTTTAGAACTTTTCCCACAGAACCTGTCCTTAATAGGAGCAACTGCTCATGAGTTGGGGAAATGAACTTTGGCAAGTGTCTTCCAGGCATCTTGAGGCTCCTCCCAGGAAGCCAGTCAGTTGAGTCAGAGTTGCATGAGCACCCTCCCCCTCCCATGTGGCTGGCCTACCCATGGCAGCTGCTGGCAGCTTGAGTGCCCTGGGGCTTGGCTGCTGGCTCAGAGCCTCCCCCTCCCCCCGCAGGCCCCGGAAGAGGGCTCTGGGGTACTTACTGGCTGTCCTTGATTCTGGGAATCGAACCAGGCTGTGAGCTCCCCAAGAGCAGGACTGGAGCCGCCCGCCCCTCCCTCCGGCACCCACCTGGCACACAGCAGGATCTCAGGGAAAAGCGAGTGGAGCAGGTGTCCTGGTGAGTCCACGGTGGTGTCAGGGCCACCCTACTCTCCACAGGGCAGAAACATGGCTCGGGCCTTTTTCAGTGCCCACGGTGCCTGACACTTGGCTGGGGTCACACAGTGGGCTCAGGAGTCAAGCTGTCAGAAGGGGCCATGGTTGCGGGCCCCACCCACTTCAGAAGCCCCCCCTTCTACTCAAGAGGTCCCCGCTCCTCCCAGGGTGGGGGCCTGTGTCTCATCCCAACCGGTCAGAAGCAGGCAGGGCCTCTGCAGAGCTCCCCAGAGCCCAGGGAAGCAGTAGGCCCAAGGGTGCAGCCACCTGGGGCTTGGGAGGGGCAGCCTGGCCCTGCCGTGGACCTCCCGGCCTTCTGTCGGCGGGACCCGGCGGCCCAGTCTGGGAAATGTGGGTCTGGGTTTGGGTGGTGGTTCTGCCGCTGCTCCCTGTGTCGTCTGAGGCAAGCTCACAGCTCTCTCCAGTCTTAGTGTCTTCCCGGGCACAGCGAGAGGCTGAGCAGATGCTTCTGCATTTGTTCTAGGTTCATGGGTTGGGGGCTGGACGGGATGGTGTTGATGAGCCCACCCTACTTGAGGTCCGTCCTCAGTCCTCAAGCCCCAGAAGGGGAAGGGAGGAAAGGGCTCCAAGCCTCCCAAGCCATTTGGAGAAGGCACAGGCACCACAGCCCACCCCTCGGGACCCCTACGCCCCTGGGCCTGCGGAGGGCCCCGGCTTCCAGGAGCAAAGGGCTGCAGGCATCCACAACCAGGATAGGAGGAGGCAGGGAAAGGGAACATGGAAGGCCGGGTGTGGTGGCTCGCGCCTGTAATCCCAGCACTTTGGGAGGCTGAGGCGGGAGGACTGCTTGAACCCAGGTGTTTGAGACAACATAGCGAGACCTGGTCTCTACTAAAAAATTTTAAAAATGAGCTAGGCGTGGTGGCATGCACCTGTAGCCCTCGCTACTCAGAAGGCTGAGGTGGAAGGATTGCCTGAGCCCAAGAGCTCAAGAGGTCGAGGCTGCAGTGAGTCCTGATTGTGATACTGCACTCTAGTCTGGGCGACGGAGTGAGACCCCAACTCAAAATAAATAAAGTGGGGGGAAAAGTCTACCTGGCTTAGGGCAGCAGTTCTCACATTCGGCGCTTAACACGAGCTCTGCAGAAAGTGATGCCCTGCCAAGCTGTGGGAACCCGGCTGTGGCGGTGTTGGGGTAGGTTGGAGGGGGTTGGGGAGGGGGGCTCAGACCTGCTTGCTCAAGGCCCTGGGTGCTCTGGGCTTGGGTGAGTGGCCTCCCCATGCCCGTCTGGGGTGGGGACTGAGACACAGGAGAACCACAGCATCTGGCCCTAGAGCCCTGGGCAGGTGTGGCAGGCTTACAGCCGCTACCAACACCACCAAGGCCCCGACCCGGGCCACGCATAGGGCTTTTCCTGGCCAGGCGAGGGGCTGCTCAGACCCCTAAGCAGTGGGAAGGTGTCGAGTGGGCGTCCCCATGGCAGCCCCCACTTAAAGAAGGCAGATGGTCAGACCATCACAGCCCATTCAACAGAGCACGCAGGAACCGTCTGTCCAATGATTAATTTATTGTGGAATATTGTACATGCAAGAACCCAAACCAGAGAGACGGAATCCGGAAGGAAGGCTGGCAGGGTGGACAGAAGCCGTGGTGTCACTCAGCCTCGCACACCAGCCCACCCTCTGGAACCAGCTCTGCCCACGGAAACACGTGACACAACGAGAACACTGAACTGGGACAAGTGGACAGCGGACGCAACACTCCACAGGTTGCTCTTTTCAGTAGCCCCTGACAATCCTGAGAACCCTCACAAAAGAAGTGCAAACTTTAGGAAATAAATATCCATCCGTCTCCAGGAGAGCCTGGAGGTGGGAACAGAGAGAAGCGGTTGTCTGGGGGTGCAGCTGCTCCCGGGGGCCGCCGGGAAGCCTGGCTTGAACCCCTCGACGGGAAGGGCAGGAGACGGGCACTGGGAAGACGAGTGCCACGGGGAGCGTCTTCCATGTGGAAGCATCACTTGGGAGCGGGGAGGACTGGCTGCGACCCCACGTGGTGAGACATTCCCAGAGCGGGCGTGGACAGGTCCCCAGAGGCTGCCCCGCAGTGCCAGCCTTCGAGCAAGCACTCCTCCACATTGTTCTTCCCAAGCTGCCCGGGAGCTGGCCTGGTTCCGAGACGGCCCATGCCCTCCCCACCCCAGCCATCCGGAAGGCTGGCCCGCCTCAGTTAGATGTGTGTGCCTGCGGGCACCAAGGAGGGGTGTGGCGTGGGAAGGAGAGGCAGCGCGTGGGCATAAGCGTGGGGCTGCTGGGGGAGCGCCTGCTGCCACCGGGTCGCCTGGCGCTGTTGCCATCACTCTCCCAGCTGGGGCCTTGAGGAGCCCTGCTAGGTGACAGGTTCCCTCCTCTTGAGGACTGGAGTGACAGCACCGCCCAAGACCACTGGGTGGGGAGGGGAAGGGCAGTAAGCCAAGGCACGGTCACGCACACTGAGGGGCTGACAGACAGGAGACAGACGGACGGCGCCCTTCCCTCTGGCCCAAGCCAGCAATGATCCCTTTCGGCTCCCAAACCCCGTGCCTTGTGCACACTGACAAGCAACCCGGCCATCCCCAGCCTGGCCAGTCTGCCCGCTTGGTGCCAGGCAGGGCCACTCTGCTGCAGCTGGCCAAGGCTCACCGTGCCCGGGGTCAAGCTGCACATCGTGCCACTCACTGCTGCCCGCTGGCCAAACAGGCAGGCAGGAGGGAACCGTGGGTTTTCACATCTCAGCACACAATGAACACAGAAGAGGTTAAACACATTCCGAAGAAAATATTTTGACAAAATAAATATTTTAACCTATAATCAGGTATAATTAGTGCTTACGAGGAATCCCAGCAATAATTTAGTGTAATTAAGTACATACTGTATCTGCGAGTTCTAACTCTCGAGCAGAGGCTGGGGCCTGCGAGGTCCAGCTTTCCAGCTGGGGGTCCGCCCCTTCCCTGACCAGGTGGCCCGAGGCCTGTGCTCCCTGGATGGTGGGGGCTGGGAGCAGAGGCCTCAGGACAGGACATCCCACAGGTGTGAGCAGAAGCCCCTCCAGGCCACTAGGCCACACTTCCAGTGCAGATCTCAAGTGCTTCCCACCAGCCTCGGGTAGGGGCAGGCAGGCTTGAAAGCCACCAGCAGGCTGGGAAGGCAGGCGATACTTGTCTGCATGGTCAGTGGCCTCCTGCCAGCCTATGGGAGTCCACCCCCACCCACTGCCCATAGGACGGCCAGGCCCATTCATTCCACGCCTGGTGACCAGCTGGGGTGGGGGCGGGGCAGCTCTGGGTGAAGGTATTAAGACCAGCCGTGCTGGCTCCCAGGTGGGCACTGTCTCAGCCTCACGCACCACCCCCACCCCCTCAGAGCCCTCAGGCTCCTGGCCTTGCAGGACTCCCTCCCCCGCAAGGCAGGGAGGCTGGCTCTTCCTCGGAGGACACTGGGCCAGAGTTGTGGTGCCGAGCTCCCGGACGCTGACTGCCCGAGGTCTGGCTGGCTGCCCACCGCCCACACTTCCAGCTCTGGCTCTCATAGAGACGACCCATGTCGCCACCCAACCACAGCCAATGGGCTGGGGCCTCTGGGTACTCCTGGGCCATCTCGGCCCCCTTCGCTGCAGCTTGAGTGAAGCCAGCTGACTTCAGATGTCCATGTCCAAGCCAGCCTCAGGGCCTTGAGAAACCCTGGGAGAAGCACAGCTGACCGAGGGTCAGGGAGCGGAGGGGGTGTCCTCCGAGGAGCCAGAGTGTGGTCCTGCCAGATGGGTCTCCAGTCACACCCCGGCATCCTCTCCAGAGGAAGCTGGAGCGCTGCTGAGATGGGCGTGGGGCTCTGGGTCGGGCGGTGCCCCGCTGTCCACCGGAGCGCTCCTGTTGGGACTCGGCGTGGCCCCCAGCTGCAGTCACCCTCCTAAATGCTCTCCAGAGATCACATCGCTGGTCTTCTCTCCTGAAGCCCAGCCCCTTTTGCCTGCTTGCTCTGGTGCTCTGGTGGTGACCGCCACGTGTCTGGGCCATGCTGCCAGGTGGGAAGGGCTGGCCATACCATGAGCTGGGAACCTGTGGCGACCTGGGCAGTGCGTGCTGGAGGAGACAGGAGCAGACTGACCCAGCAAGGGGCTTGGAGCCCCATGGGGGTGCACACAGCTGCAGCAGCATTTCCATCTTCTGGACCTCAGCAGCATGGCGGTAGGGGTCACAGGGCCTGCGCAGAGCTGAGTCCGTTGCTATGACCAGGAGACACACCAGCAAGGACACAGGAGGGGAGCAGGTGTCACCGAACCCTTCTGCTTGGCCCCAGGCTCTGTCAGCCTTCAATGTCAGCTTGGGGAAAGGGTGCAGACTGGCGGCCAGGGGGCGTCTGAGGCAGGAGGAGGCCAGGTGTCAGGACAGCCTGTGGGAGCAGGCCCAGGCCCATGCCAGGGAGCCGTGCAGGGGCCTCGGTGTCGCTCTGGCCTCTCAGTCTTGCAGACCTCTAGGAGTGGGCAAAGCTGTCTGCTGCAGGCCCTGGAGGCAGAGGTGCGAGGCTGCCGCAGGCCAGGCCGCAGCTCAAGTGTGGCACGCCCGCAAGCTGCAACACTTTCTCCCAGGCAAAGCCCCTCCACAGATGAGGGCCTCGTGTGTGGGTGCAAGCATGCGGTGTGTGCACAGGCCGTTGGGTTTGTGGTGGTGTTATCTCAGCAGTGTGCCATGTGGCCACTGTCCGTGGGCTGCCTGCTGACCTCCCAACCAGCCTTGGCCCTCTCCCCATGCTGGGAGCCTGCAGGACCCCTTGGTCTTTGGCTCGGCTGCTGAGCCAGTCTGGGTGGGGCCTGGACTAGCAGCTGACAGAGGGAGAGAGGGTCAAGAAGGTGAGAGACCCTCCCCCCCCCCGTGGACACTCCACAGAGCCTTTTCAAGCGCTAACACGCCAAGTGCCCCAAGGTGACACACAGTTCAAGGAGGGAGGCGAAGCCTGTCGGTGCAACTGCACCTGCTTTTCCAGAGACGGTGGTGCAAAGCCCCTTCTGGAAGAGAAGGGCACGCGAGGGCAGCCATGCCCAGAGACATCATGGAGCTAGGTGGAGGTGGGGCACAGGGAGGGCCCGGGACTTGCCCCTTCTCTGCGGGGAGGTGTCAGGAAGGACAGTCCAGGTGGTCTGCTCAGCAAACGGTGTCAAGGGGCTGCCCTTCCTGGGGCTGGGCCACCCTGACCGCTCTTCCTGGGAGGAAACACGGGGCAGAGGGGGCCCGCAGTGGGAAGGAGGGACCTCTGGCTGCCGCTGTAATCCACCACCCAGAGGAAAGAAGGTGGCTAAAGCTGGTCCTGACTAGTGGGAGGCCTAGGAGCAGACACAGTAGCACATCCATGGAGACTCAGGTGTGCAGGCTGCGTGGGGGCTGGAGATGGAGGAGTGGCCAGTGCCTGGTGTCCACGGGGGTGGGCGGTGACCTGCCATCTGGGGAGGCAAACCACAGGGCCACTCACAGGGCGAAGAGGGCATCCTCCGACCGCTCTGGCTTCTTCCGGCCAGAAGGGTTTGAGGCTGGAGTGGGAGCCTCCACTGGGGGTGAGGGGAGGTCGGGAACCATTTCAGCAGCTTTGGCTCTTTCTTCAAGGAACTTATCGAACTCTGCAATACAAACCAAGGCAAGGGCTGGGTTGGTGGGGGAGCCCCGGCAAGGGTGGCTCCAGCTGGCACCATGGAGGGAGGCAGGGGTGGCAGGGTGGGCTGTCAGCAGAGCCAGGGATGCTGCCTGGGGCCTGGCCTCAGGGAAGCACCCCACCTCCTCCTCCTCCACTACATCCAGGGCAAGCATGACGCCTGAGGGGGGATGGGTGGGGGGTGGGGAGGACTTCGGCACCTGCCCCTGGCGGTGTGGAGGGAAGGGTCCCAGCTGCGCCTACTCCACAGGCCCCGCAGGGAGAGGCTCTGGAGAAACCAGAGCGCGGAGCACTCACCCCTGCTGACCTGTAGCTCCGTTCGTTTTCCAGACTTGCACTGGGGGAGGGCAGGGAGAGCTGGAGGATGGGTTCCTGACGTGGCGGGGACCCTCTCACTTACCCCACACTCACCCACACAAGGGAGAGATGCTGGGGAGGCGGGGGGGGGGGGGGGAGGGCACTGAGCCATTCTCACAGGGCTCCAAGCCAGAGAGCTGGGTCCTCTGAAAGTTCCCTGACTGCGGAGCTGTCTGACCACAGCGACTGGCTGACTGGGGAGAGGAGGGGCAGGTGGAGGCAAGTGGAGGGGACAGGATAAGCTGGGGAGGCAGGATGTGAGGGGAGGGGACTTGCGGGACAAAGGATGTGGGGGCCTCGCGGCATGGGGACGTGAGGACAGGGGACGTGGGGACAGGGGATGTGGGGGCAGCTGTGTGGGGGAACTAACCCCTTGCTGTTCCCAGCCTGCCCATCAGCTGAGGCTCCTCCCTTCCGGCCCCGCTGCCCAAGGGTCCCCTGGCCCCTTGAACTGCACAGCAGGTATCTGAACTGGACTGAGCATCTGAGGGTTGGGACGCAGGTGGCAGTCTGCACCCACTCTTCACTAGCTCCGTAATCTTCTGAAAGTCACGTGTCCTTTCCGACCTCTGTTTCCCAAGAAGGGAGATGAGAGGAATAACACCTCCCACATAAGCCCTGGGCAGGACCAGGCCACCTGTGAAGCCCACAGCGCAGGTGCTTTGGCAGAAGAGGCTCCACGGTGACTGGGGACTGGCCCCTGTCCAGCCTGGGGCGGGAACAGCAAAGGCAGTAAAGTCAAGGGCCAGGCCATACCTTCACTCGTGACGCCCTCCTCCAGGTCATCGCCCTTCTGTGGGAGGAGCAGAGAGACAGGAATCAGGGCACTGGCCGCGGCTGGCACGCCCGGCTACCTCTGCCTGACCTCAGCCACCCCAGAGCAGTGCTGCCCAGGTTCACACTGCCCACAGCGCTAGAGCAAAACTCCCTACTTTTCCCTGTTTCCAGACTTCCGAAATAGCAAAATACTACTCTTCTTACTGGAGAAACAGAAGTTGTGTTTTTACAAAACAAGAAAACAAACAGGTTCTAGTTTTGATCCTCCAGAAGGGCCCCACATCCAAAACAGTGCAGGCCGGTTCTCCAGTCTGGGCTGGGGAGGACAGAACCTCACCCTTGGCCTCTCGAGGCTCTGGGGAGAGGTGAAGAGGGCCATAGGAAGGTGAAGCCCGAGCACACGCAGGGTCACGTGTGCCCCTCTACACAATACCCACTCACGACCTGCGGCAGGGGTTCTGGGAAGACCCCAACAGTTGGGAACTATGCAGGCCCAGGTGGCCCAAGACCGGGAAGCCCATGGCACAGGGCCTGGCACCCAGTGGGCACTTTGGCAGTGGAGGCTGTCCCTTGAAAGCAATGTCCTGGGGACTCCCGGGAGCTGCACCAGCCTCCCACCGTGGCCCAGGTCTCTTCACCCGCTGCCAGCTCCTGAGGGAGCCACGGAGGCTCTGTGTACTCTTCTAAACTAAAGTGGATCCGACTTGATTTCGTCTGAGGAACACAATGGTCTCTTGAATGCAGGGACTGCGCAGGCACTGGGGAGAGCAGCGAGTGCAGAGGCCTTGCTGGGGCAGGGCAGGATGGGGAAGTCACAAAGCCCTGGCAGAGCTGGGAGAGCTGGGTGCCCTCCTGGCTCTGCCACGGATGGCAGTGGGACCTCGCTGGACAAGTGCCTTCCCTTCCTGGACCTGGGGTCCTCCTTAGAAGGTGAATCCCTTGGCCCTTCCTGCCTTGCTTCTATGAGAGAAAAGCTACTTCTTTTCCAGGCATCCTCTTGGGAAAGATACATGGGGCGTCTTCTTCCTCCCCCACGCCTGGGTGGCTGCCTCACTTGGCAATGAGTGTCCTGGAAAACCTGGTCTTCCGGGGAGGACGCCCAGAGCAGTAAGGGGCTGCTGTCCTAGTGTGGGAGGCAGCGAAGACAGCAGGCTGACCCTGTGGTTAAGAACTCAGGAAGCTGTTCTGCTCCAGCCACAAGGCCCCCGGAAGAGGAGGCAGCTGGAAGTGAGAGATGAGAAGTCTCCAAGTTGGGAAGGGGGGAGGGGGAGGGGCAGGAATCCAACTAGCCCATGAGTCTGGGAAAGCCACTTCCCCTCCCAGAGGGCACTTCTTCCTCCATCTTTGGCCAGCAGCCCCTACTCTGAACCCCTACTGGGCTGCTGAGAGTGAAAGTACTTCGTAAGGAGCAAAGGGAGGGACCAGAGGTCATCATGGAGCCACTGCAGCTCTCCTTTCTAGGGACCTGCCGCCATTTTCAGATGCACTATATCCTTGTCTTCTCATCCTATCTCTTAGGATGGAGACGATGGTCTTTGGGGAAAGGGTTCTTTTAAATCAGGAAGGGGAATGACAGTGAATTAAAAACAAAACACTGTGTGTATATTTCACAATAAAAAAAGAAAAACAAGCAAAAAACTCCAAAACAAAAAACACCCCCCACCAAAACACACACACACACACACACACACACACACACACACACACTCCTGAAATGGAAAAGAAACTGGGAGAAGGCAAGTGTGTGTTTTGGAGCGGGCCAGAGCTAGACTTAAACACCAGTTCTGTTCTCATTGGGCATGTACCCGCCCACGCCACAGGACAGTGGGTGAGGCAGGCCTCACCCAGAGCCTCGCCCCATCATAGCTGGCCTCCCCAGTTGGCCTGGGAGTCACCACAGCACCGTGGCTGTGGGCTAAGTGTCAGGAAGTAAGGTGAGCTGGTGGCTGCAGAAGCCATGCCTGTCCCAGCTCTTCTTTCTCCACTGACCCCGATGGAGGTGTGGCCCCTGCTGATGTCCCCCAAGGCTTGTCCTCAGGGAAGCCTCTGCCTCTCCACTCCCTGCACACAAAATATAAAAGTCGAGTCTCACCAGGTCCGTCCTGAGCCACACCTCAATGTCGTCCATGACAGAGGGCTGCGCAACGGGGATCTATGGAGGCGGCAAGCAGCGGGCCAGGCAGCCCCACAGTCAGGCGAGGGGAGACAGAACACCGGAACAAAGGAAATCGTCAAAAGCAACCCCAAATGAAACCAAAATGTACACAGAGCAAAAACACAACTGGCAACACGGGGCAGCCACACGTGAAATGACAGGCGAGGAAAGCAATGAGATGCAAATTATAAGAAGCAGGCTGCCCGCAGGGTGGCGGGGAGGGAGGTGGCAGTACACGTTCTTGAAATGGAGAACTTTTTGACTATGTGTGTCCACCCTCACGTCGTGTCCTCAGCCCAGGGCTGTAGAGCACCTTCTAACGGCAGGAAGGCGCTATCTCGCAGGTTGATTCGGAGCTGACCTGCTATGACAGTCCCAGCAGTACTGACTACCCACCAGCTGGTAAGTTAGCCCAGGGGGTGACTCGAAGAGCCAAGAGTGGGCCCCTGATGCCCAGAGGAGGCTAAGTGACAGACTGCCCAGAGCAGGGTGCAGGTGCTTAGGAAGCAGGGCAGAGCCAGCCCTGGGAAATGGCAAGGACTCTGTTTTCTCAGCTGAAACTATTTCAAAACGTGTCCTGGTGCATTCTGAGGGGAGGAGAGGGGCACTGAGGAAGGCGCATGTGTTCTGTTGCACTGGGTGGGGCCCAGTGGACAGAGGCAGGCATATTTCGCCACCAAGAGAAACACGGCAAAGATGAGGGCTTTGATGACAAAAGGGACCGTGGGGCTTTAGTCTTCGTGTCTCTTTGGGGGGAAAAAAAAATCACGAAGCAGTCCTGAATGCAACAGCTTCCTTTAGTCTCACCCTTTCTTCCCTGCTCTCAATGGCTGTCTGTGCTTCAGTTCTCAAAGAAAAGAGGTTTGGCTGAGCACCGGGGAGCAGCAGCTGGAGCCAGGGAGGTGACCAGCTCCCAGGCAAACGATGATGTGCCTCACAGGTGCCTGAGCCATGGCCATGCCTGGGCCCCTGTGCCAAGGGCCTCGGGCAGAGATTCTTAAGAATGCATGGGGCTAAAAACATGGAAGTTGCTGTCAGATATGATGTGATAAGAAGTAAAGGTAACCTTCAACTCCCAGAAGCCATGTTAAGGCAACATTGGCTCACAGCCTAGAGAGATGAGGTGATGGCCCTTAATCAAGGGGACCTGCCTCCTCATCTGTCCTGGCTCTGGGAGACACCTTCTGGGGCTTCACTTGCAGGCCCACTGTTTCTAGAAAAAAATGCCAGTGCTGTGACTATAGCTGGCTTTACCCCAGTGCCATGATCTAGGGTAAGAATAAACTTAAAATAAGCAGTGAGAGAACTGCCTCGGTTTTTACCCAATGTAAAAAATAGCAAGACTTTCACAAAGGAAAAGAACAAAAGAATGCATAAGGCCAGCTGCAATGTGACAACTCCAGTTCTGGAGGTTGATACCTGTTGCTGATAGGAGGGTGGACTGGGGTCCCCAGAGGGAGTCCGAGAACACTGGGCAGATGTCTGCGATGCCACCAGAGCTCCTCACTCCCTCAGTGAGCTCGGCCGGACCCTTGCTCTAAGGAACATGCTCAGTGCCCTAACTTCAGATCCAACATGAGCAGCCCACACGAGTGTTTTCAGAAAAGTTCAAGCCAGCCACTGATCAGATTAGGAAGAGTCTTGTCTGTGTTGCCGTTTTATTTCTTTGACTCACTGGGGACTTAAGAATGTTGAACTGAAAAAAAAAAAATCAGGAAATTCTTATCACCTAACATGAATCCTAGGGACACAGAGCATGAGATTACCCAGGGGGGTGGGTGGAGAGGGTTGGGGGGAACAGAAATGCCCAAGGCATTTGCTAACAGTGCCTAAGGCGGGCACTACCTTGCTCATCAAAGAGCAGCAGGCCACATGGGATGTGATGTGCTATCTCAGGCTTGCTGGCAGACCTTCTGCCTCCACACGTTCCTGGAAGAGGAGATGTTCATTTTCATGCTCTTGATGCCTCTAAGTCAAAGGCCTGGTGTCTGGGAGGATGTGTGCCACACTGAGTCCCCGGAACTGAAGCTTAGCTAGTCAGCTGCATCTCCAAAGAGAAAATAAACCCTGCGATGGCTGTGAAGGTGCACACTGGCCCCTTCTTTACACCTACCCAGTTTCGTCGATTTAGGAGAAACAAATTAGATGTCCCCAGTTTTTCAATGTTGCAAAAGCTTGAAAAAAGCCATTAAGGGGTCATGGGCCTTAAGCTTTCGGATTGTTCTTGTAATTGTTTTGTTACAGTTAAAAAAAACAAAATCCCTGAGGCCTGGGATCACCTCCAATTTTCGTCTGAGGATTAATCTTAGGAGCTAGCATGCTCAGAAAATAAACAATGACAGTTGAGAAACTTCTTGCCCCTTAAAACAAAATTCCCCAAAAGTTGGATCATGAGAACCCTTTTCTTCCCTGTCCTAGATTTTTCCAAATAAGTAGTATGTTTATGGAATGGCACCCTCCAGCCCCTAAGGGGCAGGCTGAGTAGGAGAGTGCACTGGGTGGAGGTCTGTGTGGGCCCCAGCGCTCACTGGTAGCCGGACCTGGGGCAAGTCCTTCTCCCTGGACCTGTTTCTTCACCCAACAGCTCCTGAGCTGCTTCTCTCCTAAGAAGCCTTAGAGTTTTGGGTGGAGAGGCAGGAGCTGGGGCAGGGGCCTGCGCAACGCTCGGCCATGGTTTCCTTATCTGTGAAATAAGGTGATTGCTAGGTCGTACTTGGCTTTCAATTCCCATGACCCAGAATCCCTTAACTTCCAGGTTGGTGCTTCCGTTTTCTAATTCAGAAACCCAGCAGTGTCAGAAATTATTAGAATTGACTCTTTACAGTATTAAAGGCACTTGGCCTCAGGGCGTGAACCACTGTGGAGCAGGGTGTTGGTTTAGTTAAGCTTATATAATGGAAGGCAGGGGTTGACTTTCTGGTGGCCGGACACAAAACCTTAGCTCACTAAACGTCCTGCCCTGGTAAAGAAATGCCTTGAGTAATACAACAGGGCAAAGTTCCTCCTAATAATGTAGGTGCTACCAGACACAGACTAAACATGTACTGCTATGAAAATACGAACTAAAGAAACTACGTATGCAGGAGGCAAAGGAAGCTCCCCTCCCTGGGCTGGCGGGAGGCAGGGGCAACTGCAACAAGTCTTAGGGTACTCAGACTGCCCTGTGGCTTTGGGCACGTCACCAGGCCCCCGGGAGGCTGCAGGGTCCTCATCTGTCAAGCGAGGGGCTGGCCCAGCAGATCCCTAAGAAGACTGCCATGGTTTTAGCTCCTTCTTGGGCAATGATCCGCTGAAGGCTGTTCCAAGGGGTCTGAAGAAGAGTGTGAGTTGAAGGAGGGAGACAGAAAGGAAAAAGAGATGTGAAGAGAGAAAAAGGAAGGAAGCTAGCATGGGAATGCCCTCCAGGAGAGAACCACACCTGAAGCTCAGGCCCCCTGAAGACAGGAAGGCCAGGCCAGCTTGGCCAGGGCAGTGGTTAGACCAGGCCTGCCCAGTCTCAGAGTGCAGAGAAGCAGGTGTCTCAGACGTCAGAAGTGACAGGTTTTGACCTGAGCAGTGGGTGAGCTGTTCTGCTGTCAGCTGATTCTCACTTGGAACTGCAGGCAGAGGCAATTCTGCCTTGGGGATCAGGAGGGTCGCCTGCCTGAGGGGGAGAGGTGTGGCTGGTACTCCCAGGGTTACCCAGCATCTGTCCTGAGTGGGAGGGGCCTTGGGGGGCCTCCAGGTCTGAGCAGGGAGTCCTCTGGCTCCAAGCCAAAACCTAGATTCTGGCAGTCGCAGACTTTTTACCAACCTATTTCTGTTCTTGTTTTGACTTAGATTAGTTCATATTAGGATATGTTCCTGGCTGCAGGCTGCACACAGGCGACAGTTCTAGCTGATGATCAGCCAGGAGAGACAAAAAGACCTCAAGCTAGAGAGGCCAGGGAGGGAGATCACAAGCCTGGTAGTCTCCTCAGGAGCTGCTTGGTGCTGGCTCATGACAGACCTCGATTCTTTTTAACTGGCAATGACCCTGGTGTTGTCAGCTAACTTCTGTGTTGGACAACCGCACACCTGAAGCCCCAGGAGAGTAAGGGCCCCATGAGATGCTCCTCTGCAGCGTCCCACAGCCCCACAAGGAAACCTACCTGCCCAGTTTTCAATCCAACAGGTGCCATCTCTGTAGCTCAGGTGTGCCATCTCCCAAGAAGCTATGAAACCCTCCCTATGACACTTCAGTCACCACCCCAGCAGAAGGAATAGTCTAAAAGCCTTTTGTCTCACTTAGTAGTACAAAAAGTTTCCAAGTAAAGAATCTGTACTTGGGAGGTTTGGAAAGACTCAGGGTTTCTACACTATGGGGAATAAGACAAAGCAATTAATAATATATGTTGTCAAGAACACGAACACTGCAGTCAGTCAGGCGAGACACCAGGTTAGCTGTTAGTTGGGTTTGTTTCTGGGAAGTTAAAGACTGGAGCTCCATGTGGGGACAGGGTGGTGGGGAGGCAGCCTGAGTGGGCAGAGGCAGGCGCCACCACCAGCTGCCAGGGCCACATTCAGGGTAGTTTGTGTGGGCAGTATCCTTTTTTGCAGGATTAATAGGCACACGGACACAGGGGCTCTATCTTCCCAATTTGGACAATGGAGTGGACGTGGTCTCCTGAAGCCCAACCTGTTCCTGAAGAAGCAGATGAAGGGCCCATCTCTCTAAGAATGGCCTAGGGTCTGGTGCAGAAGCTGCTTTCTCACTCAGAGCAGAAGTGTGCTGCTGCTGAGACAGGCGGTGGGAGACCCGTCCAGCTTGAGGGCCTGAGTGTGCAGAGGGCAACAGCCTAAGCTGGCGGGTAGGCAGACGCCCCTTGCCCCCATGGTTCTGGGCCACCTGGCCTGGCCCAAGTCCTTGCTCAAGCAGGTGGTCCCAGTGCTGCCTGCAGTCTGGGACCTGCTGGCCCCTCCCTGGCCAAAGCCTGGCCCAACACACTGGGGGCAGTTATGCACCCCTCTCACTCCACCTCGCCTAGGGGAGAGCCCCACGTTTGCACTCTGTCCATCATCCTTCCTTCTCTGCATTCCCTCCAGCTCAGGCCCCCCCACATGTTCACAGAGCTTTGCAGCCTGAGGTGAGGTCACCCTCTCTCCAAAGACCAGGCTCAGGCCCACCTGAACAGACAAGACAGTGGAGACCCTCCCAGGTCTCTGTGCCAGAAAAGCTCTGCTACATGATACTAACAGCGTTTATGACACTGAGCTCCCCTGGCTTTGTCTTCTTTTTATTCTGTTCCTGTTGTGTTTGTGTATTTCTTTAAAAGGTCTCAAATCCTTTTGGGGGACTTACTGGATATAAGTAACTTAGTGGATATATGTAATCAAAACCTGTCAAGCCTAGGACTGCCATGTTGGCAGGCTCTGGGCTAGATGGGGCTTCTCTGACTGGGCAGATGCTTTGAGTCTGTTCCCTTAGAAGTGTTCCCTCCCAAGCAAAAGCCATCGAAACTTGTGCTCATCCTGGAAAAGTGAATACTGCCGAGAGCTCCGGAGACAGTAAAAGGAAGGAAGGGGCCCTCCCCTCATCCCTGCAGATGTCCCAGACTCTTAAGGTCCAGGAGCATGGGCCTCAGCAGAAAATCAGAGGTATTTCTGGGATTGGAAATCTGTGGCTTAAGGAGATTAAACAAAAATAGGAGGGCAAATTTGGCACCCCTGTCAGGAGAGCATGGCCTTGTACTGTCTGATTCACAAGGGCTCGGCAGGTTGCAGGGGGAAGGCATAGGCTGTTACACACAAAAGGGGCTGGGGTGGACAGCGGGCTTGGCTCAGCTGGTGATGCCTCACCATTCCTTGGGTTATGAGCCAGCTGTCTATAGGCTCCAGGTCAGAGTCCCCACCTCTACCTCTCTTCTGGGTCGAGGACAGAAAAGTCCCAGAAAGAAAAGTCACAGCAAGACCCATGAGAAAGAAGTCAATAGCACATATTGTGGAAACAGAAAAGTCACTTCAGATTTGACCTTTGTCATGTAAGGAAATGTGACCCAATGCCCCTTGCCCCCAACCTCCACCCCTGGCATGTCCCCCTTACCTTCCTGGAAAAAAGAAAAAAAGTTTAGTAACCAAGAATCTCCATAGGATAACATATACTCATGCTGACAACTCCCATGCCCTTGGAAAATCTCTGAGGTCACAGAAGGTCAACCTCTCTTGATTAGGGATACCACGATTGGCAGGGCATCAATTTTTCAAAGAACAGACTTTTACAGAATCTGTTATACTTTCCCTAACTTAAATTCCTGCATTTTTTCCCCTCTTTTTTCTCCTTACCAGTAGTCAGTGTATTTTCTCCCCCTAAACTCTTGAATGCTGGATTAGGTATATGCCTTTTACTATTTATTTATTTATTTATTTAGAGTCAAGGTCTCACTCCGCTGCCCAGGCTGCAGTGCAGTGGCACGATCATAGCTCACCACAGTTTCAGCCTTCTGGGGGCAAGTGATCCTTCTGCCTCAGCCTCCTGAGTAGCTGGGATTTCAGGTCCATGCCACCATATCCAGCTGATTTTTTTTTTTAGAGAGGCAAGGTCTCACCATGTTGCCCAGGTTAGTCTCAAACTCCTAGTCTCAAGCAATCCCTCTGCCTTGGCCTCCCAAAGTGCTGGGATTACAGGCATTAGCCACCATGCCTGGTTTTATTTATTCATGTATTTTTTGAGACAAGGTCTCGCTATGTTGCCCAGGCTGGTCTCAAACTCCTGGGCTCAAGTGACCCTCCTGCCTCAGGCTACTAAGTAGCTGGGACTACAGGAATGCCCCAGTTCGGCCTTTTTTGACTAACAGTTGGATTTGAATTGTGGAAGTGTGGCTACACAATTCTCTCCTTTTCTTTATTGTGTTCTTAATTTCTCCCTTGGCCCCATTTTCACTTCTTGGTCGGCTTGGCATGTGACAAAGTAACCTTGAGCGCTGCACACAGGCAAGGATATGTGTGTACACACACAGATGACACATGCCCTGCCGCCTCAGATCACTGAGGCGTGGCTGTGGCAACGTCTCCACTGAGTAGCAAACATGAACGGCAGTCTGCCTACCACTGTGTGGAAAACCTGCTGGAGTAATCAGAACCTTTGAAAACAGGGAGCTAGTCCAAGCCACGCACCCAAAGGGTGAAGGGCAGGAAGTCACTCACCTCTCCTGGGCGCAGACCCAGGCCTGGACACTGATAATGGCAGGGGTGCAGCAGGACACACCCTGGCATGGACATGGCAGGCCCTGGAGCCCGAGTGGGGAGCAGATGAGGTCGGCCTGGCGGGGGCACTGGGCAGCTCCCAGGTCAGGCCTGGGTCAGCCAGGAGAAGATGTCCTCACCTGACAGTAATGCTGGCAGGCCCCAGCCTGGCTCCTATCACCCTCCCTGGGATAGGTGGGAGGACATTCCAAGTAACAGGAGATCAGAACCATAACCACTGCATAGATTTTGGGTGTCCCAGTCTCAGGGGTTTGGGGGACCCTGCCCACCCCTTCTGTGGAAAGTCAGGGTGCTAAGAACCCAAGGCAGCTGGCCAGAGGAGGGGCTGGCCCAGTCGCCTGACTCTTCTGCGCCCCCTGGTGGTCTGTGCAGAGAGACACATGCCCTCAGATCAAGTTGGATAGGCCAGTGCCTTGAGGAGTCCCTTTCCCCAAGGGCAAGCTTTCTATCAGAAACCAGTACCACTGTCTGCCTGTCCATTTGGACAGGAGCTGAAGGAGGCTAAGAACTGGTATTCTGGAAGCAAACAGCCCTTTGCAAACCTCCCTAGCTAGGGGACAGATGATCGCTGCTGGGGAAGCCAGACAGGAGTTCCAGCTATCGTGGGTAGTTGTCCCAAGGGCCCTCCTCCCTCCTACCCCTGCAAACAGATATGCATCCACATACATTTCTTTTTCTTTTTTTTTTTTTTGAGTTGGAGTCTCACTCTGTCGCCCAGACAGGAGTGTAGTGGCCGCTCCCAGCCACCGCAGCCTTGACCTGCTGGGCTCCGGCGATCCTTCCACCTCAGCCTTCCCAGTAGCCGGAATTACAGGCATGCGCTACCATGCCCAGCTGATTTTTTGATTTATTGTAGAGATGAGGTCTCACCAAGTTGCCCAGGTGAGTCTCGAACCCACGGGCTCAGGCAATCCACTCACCTCAGCCTCCCAAGGCATGGGATTACAGGCTGAGCCACCGAGCCCGGCCCACATATATTTCTTAGTTAGGCAAAAAGAAAAACATCTCATGAGAAACATTAAGACTCAAATCTTTTCCCATTCAGTAATTTGAAATCTTACAGAAACTAAGGCTGTGTTTGAGGTCTCAAATAAGTGCCATCCTCCAATTCAAAGTGTCCCCACTTTTGGCTTTACTTCTTCCAGACATAGAACTTCCCAGCCACTACTCAGCTCCCCAAACAAATCCTGGCCCTCCAGTGCCTTCTCATGGGGCTGTACTGCTCTGCTAGGCCAGTGACAAATGACCATCTGAGATGTGACTCAAGTCAGCAATGTCCTTCCTTGTGCAGGTCATGATTTTGTCAGAGTTCTGCCCACTTCCAGGGCACTATAACAAGTGACCACAAGACACCTATGCCCTGAGAGCTCAGGGCCACTGCAGCAGGAAGAGCAGGAGTTCTGAGTGCAACATTCTTGGAATTGGATCCCCCACTTGCTATCTGCTCTCTGGGTGCCCTGGGCCCAATCTCCCACCTCTCTGGGCTTGTTTCCACTTGGCCATCATGGGAAAGCTCACACGGGGTGTTACTTCACAGGGAGGGGTAAAGACTCAATGAAGCACTACCTGGTAGCACACAGGTGCTTCCCGGATCTCTCCTTCAGTGTGCCCCTGCCCTCTGTGCAAGCCAGCTTTTGCTGAGTTATCCAGCTGGCTTTCACACTGCCCGACTTTCCCTCTAGAAGACTCCAGGCAGAAAAACAGGGTGAAAGACCTACCCCTTCCGAGTTCTGTTTTCGATTGTCTAGTGCAGAAGCGAGTCCTCCGACAGCCTGGGGATCCTCATAGGTTACCCTGGAGGTGAAGCAAGCACAAGCTGAGTTAGTTCTCCCCCCCACCCCTAGGGTCATGTGGGGATGGGGCAGGGCAGGACCTGTAACCACTTTCTGTCCCATGGCACCTTCCTCAGATGTCCCTGGAAAAGGTTTCTTGTGACCTTGGCTTTGGGTAGGGAGTAGAGGCTCACGCTGTCTGTCTCCCTGCTAGAAGGCCAGAGTCCTAGCTCAGGCTCAACCATGTGTCTCCTCTGGGATCTGGGATACTATGCACCTCAACATTACTCTCCAGTGACTATACTGGGGCATCTCTGAAGCTCAATAACAGGATGTCCAAAGTGCTCTAAAACTCCTCAGTGGGAAAGCCAGAGAAAGGCAAAGTAATATGAATACTTATTTTAGGCAGCAGCCTCAGTGCATTTGACAAGGAAGGCAGTCTCTGGGACCTGGACTGTCACCAATTCCTCTGGTCCCGGACCCCTTTAGCTGTATCTGTTTTACAAGCAATTTTGCTGGTAAAGGGTGCACGGGGCCTTGGGTTTCTGCTCACCCTGTTAAGTCCTGAGTAGGACTTGGGGAACTGAATGCACCAAGACGCTGGATCCCTGGGAAAGGCGGGGAAAGTGCTCGCCTTTAGGCTCATCTTAGCTGAACAGAAAACACGTACAGTGGGATGCATGGGTTATCTATTTTGGAATCAACCCTCCTGATTCCATATGCCTCATCCTTGCCAGAGCTGTCAGAGAAGCCTCTGCTCTGACCACTTTTTTTAGGCAGGAATATCTTGTCGCTAGGAACCCATTTCAGGCCCTGGCTGGCTGCACCCTCCTGCTTCCCAGCTCCTGAAGATGAGGCGCTGGGGAAGTGGTGTCTGCAGCAGCAGCGTGGGGAGGAAAGAGAAGTGTCATCTCTTGTAACTCCCAGGAGAGATCACACTACAATCAAAGCCAAGGGCAGAGGAGTGGGTGGCAGGAGGCGGGACAGAGAGGCTGGCGTTTATTCAACATCCGCATCTAATGCCAAGTTTTCATAGCTGTGCTTTAAAGTTCTGGCAGTTCTGGACCTGGCAAATAAAAGGCCTCTTTGTGCTGGCCTGTGACCAGGACCGGGTCAATCCCCCCAACATCTTCGGAGAGCCACTGGAAAGTGCCCCACATACGTCTTGCGCTGCTCAGCCAAGGAGTTCCCTCTCGTCTGGGCAAACATGTCAAAGCCGTCACGGGAATTACATTGTTGGAGTGAACTGAGGGTGCCACTGACGCTCTCTGCCCCCAAGTCTGTGGCAACAAAACAAACAGGAGGCAGGTGAGAACAAAATGTGGATCCCTGACTTGGTGGAGGACCACCAGGTTAGGACACCAGCCGGGCAGGTTCAGGTTCTATGGGGGTGCAGGACTTCCCTGAGAACTCTCAGCCCACCACATGCAGGAAGGGCAGGGTCCAGATGCAGGATATACCCAGGGCAGGCTCCAGATGGGGGACAGAACAGTCATTGCCCCTCAAGCTGCTCAAGGAGGGGAAAGAGTCATCATAATGAGACGGAGATTGCTGGGGGTGAGAAGGATGGGACTTGGGCCAGTGCACCTGTGGATTTCCCATAATACCCTTCCTAGGTGGGCCCCTCATTAACTCAATCATAATGTCCAAGGACCTGGTCACTTATTTATTTGGCAATGTTTCTGGGGTAACCGCCATGTTCAGAGCTAGATCACGAGTGGACCAAATGGAATCTGACATGGTCCTTGGCCTCCAGAAGCCCACCGAGTAGGTGGGAACATACAATAGCAGGGCTAAGCCAGGGACATCAGGAAAGACTCAAAACCAGCACAAGGGTGGGTCTTTAAAAACGAGTGGGAATATGTTGGGGGGAGAATGGGAAAGGGCAGGTATAAAGGCATAGGGTCTGGAGGTATAAAGGCATAGGGTCTGGAGGTATAAAGGCATAGGGTCCAGGATGCATGAATTGAGCAGTATAGACAGGGAGAGATCTGTGGAAGAGGTGGTAGGAAAGGTAGGTGGGAGATGGCTGGTGAAACCTCACATCCCATAAGGAGCAGGTGGGAAGGCACTGGACCTTTTAATTTTAGGGCCTCACTCTATTGCCCAGGCTGAAATGCAGTGGCACAATAGCTCACTGCAGTCTTGAACTCCTAGGTTTTCAAGTGACCTTCCTGCCTTAGCCTCCCAAGTAGCTGGGACTACAGGCATGCACCACCACACCAGCTAATTTAAATTTTGTTTTTGTAGAGACAGGGTCTCAATATGTTGCCCAGGCTGGTCTCAAACTCCTGACCTCAAGTGATCTTCCTGCCTTGGCCTCCCAAAACACTGGGATTACAGGCATGAACCATTGCTCCCGGCCACACTAGATATTTTTTAAGAAGGGAGATAGCAGAATTCAATTTGGATTTTAGGTATTAAATCTGGTAGCCATATATGCTAGATAAATCGAAGGCAGAGAAATCTGTTCCAACAGAGAAAGTGGCTCTAGAGATACAAGATACTAAGAAGCTAGAATTACAGTAACTGACAGGCCACTAAATAAAAGCTTAATTCAATTCAAATCAAATAAAAGTAGCAGGAAAATATTAAGAAAAAATGAAAACAGAAAAGTAAGGTAGAGAAAAGAATTGTGAGGGCCATGCTTATTAATTCTCTCAGTATTATAACTTTGTCATAATTGGCATCCATCCAGTATAATTGAAGCATATAGAGCCATACACACACTTTCAAACTGAATGAACTGTGGAAAGGTGGCCAGGTTCTTCGTTTTAAGTTTCAGACATTGGAATGCTTTAGATTGGTGGTATAGTTTAAGGAGAGCAAATATACTGGCACTACCACTTCCTGTTTCCAAACCCACTGCAGATATTGTCAATCAATCATAGACTCTTCTAAGCCCTGAGCAGGGTCCAGCATCCTCCTCAAACCTGTATTCCAAGCAACCAGTGGGCTAAGATCTGTTTGCCATCCTTGTCCTAGTTCATGCTGAAAAGGAAATCACTGCAAGCATAGGGAATGTTCCATATAAAACACAGCAGGTTATCTTTTTTTAAAAAGCAAATAATTTCCAGTTCCTTGGAACTTCCCCCACCCTTGCTTTCCAACACAGGTTTAAAATTCAAATTTAGGGAAGAAGTTATAGACTGAAGGCGGTACAACTGGCCAGGATTCAAGAATGCACTTTCACATGGGTTTCCCAAAAGGCGCTCTTCAGGCCATCTGACAAAGAGACAGAAGTGGCCTGCGAGAGGACCAGCAGTAGGAGCCCCTTTTGCCCCGAGACACTCACCCAAGCCTGCAAGCTGGGAGGACAGCGAAGATGGGGGCGCTGTGTTCCCCACCATCGGGCTCACAACCGCTGGAGACCCTGGCCCCAGGTCTATCAAGTTGTCTTCAGTCACCTCGTTCAGTGCCTGTTGGAACAGGAGACTGGCAGCGGGCCCAGAGCCCTCACGCCAGGCTCTGAGGTGGAAGCAGCAGGCAACTGTGCGCTTCCGAGAGGAAAGGCACCAGCACTGTACCCGGACAGAAGCACAGCTGGATCCCTTGCCTGCCCTCAGGACCCAGGGCCCTGGCTGACCTCTGGCCTCCCCCTTCCCGCTCAGCAGGTGGTTCTGAGTCACCAGACAGCGGCTGTCCTGGGATCTGCGGGCCTGGCACTTGCTGCTCACTCTTCCCCAGGATCTCGCTCTTCAATCACACAGATACTTAAACCCCAGTTAGAAAGGAGGCGAGGCCCCACCCAGGCGTGTCCCTGCAGCCTCCACAACAGGGAGGACTGGGCCTGGCTGCGGAAGGCGTGAGGATTTTGAAGGATACTTACTCCATTACTGGCATTTTGAACGGATCGGCCCGACCTGTATCTCTCAAACCTAACAGGGGAAGGGAAAGCAGATGTAAGGAGAGAGGACACCCTGGCGTGGCCTTGTGGTACACAGTGGTCCTGTGAAGAGCCCTTGAGACCCAGACCAGGCAGTTTCACTTGGGACTGGGAAGTGGGCCCATACACACATAGCTTTGCCACACTCTCCTCTGTATGGGGCTCCCTCCAGGAAGATCGACTTCCTGACCTCCCACATGGTGCTCTGAGTTGGCATCAGGGAAGGGTGGTGGCTGACCCATCAAGGAGGCCACCATGAGTGTCCCCAGCTGGACCCATACACACCTGGGCCCAGAGTGCTCCTCTTGCCCCTGGAGGGAGGGTGGATCAACCACTTACCCTTGGGGGGGTCGTAGATGTCTATCCACAAAGCCAGGCGATAACTGGAGACACTGCCCTCTCTCACAGAGCTGTGCTGGGGAGCAACCCACTAGTGTTGCTAGATGAGGAAGATGGGCACGGGGCCCTGACTATGGCTGGTGAAATGGTTCACCAGTAGCTTCAGGGGGGTCTGAGCCAACCTTCAAGGGGCTGCCAGGAGGCCAGGGCAGGGCAAGGCAGGCCTATCAGGGAGTCTCCTCCGTATCCAACCCCCCAGTGCAGGGGGGCTTGGCTTTGAGCAACTGCAGAAGGCCTCTCCGCTCCCACACCCAGGTCGCTCTCACACCAGGTGGGGAGTGGAAGACCAGCTGTGAGGTCTGAGGGGGAGAACAGATCATGCTCTGCCTCATACATAAAATCTTCAAATGCCACAGGCAGAGAGGTAGCTAAGAGACTTTTCAGCTGGAGCCCAAGAAGCCCGGCTTTAGTGAAGTATGCACATTCGCCTTCCAGCTTGCTGGGGTCAGTGCCTGGTGACAAGAGATCCCCTGGAGGAACAATCTGATTAGGCAGTGAGTGTCCACTGTGGTTTTAAGGAAGACTTGTGTGGTTTTTCTTGACAGTGGTCTATAAAGAGGACAGGAATATTAACATCTCTGAAAAATTTTCATCCTGGGGTGCCTTTCCCACACTCTCTTCAAGGAACAATCATACTTGTCAAAGGCACTCTAACCAGAAGGGCACTTCTGGGCCACAGGCTGCAGGCTTGGCCTCTGAATTATTTGTAATGCTGAACCTGGGGGACCGTTGGGTGAAAATAGCTAGCTCCTGTCATCCTGTTCTAGTAGGGAATTAAATGGGCCTAACAGGTGAAAACCCAAGCCTATTTAACATGGAGAAACCTGAACCACATAGAAAGACAAAGGGGCCTTGGGCTGGGAGTCAAGGCCCTTCAGATATGCTCCTGTTCTCCAGCTGACACATTGTGAGCTCCTAAGGGGCCCCATACTCCTACTGCAGAGCTTTTGTCACCTGCTAGATGGGCACAGGCCACCCATCCCTATCTCCACAGTCAAAAGCTGAGACAAAGCCAGGGTTTATGACAATCACAACAAAATCACCCTTTAAGCCCCCAAAGGGGGCTTAAATGCAAGTATCTGTCCCACTGGCCCTACACTGATATCAGATCCTTGTACTCCTGAGTAATCTGTAGGGTAGGCTATGAGTCAGCTGGCATGGAAGAAGGGGCCAGGACCTCAAGCCTGCAGGAGTCTCAGGCCACTGTCTCGCTCTCAGGCCTTATCTTTAAGGGGAGAAGGTTGGCCTGGTCAAGGTCCTTTCTGGTCTTGACACTGGGTCATTCAGGAAAGCCCACCCTGCACCCATTGGTGATGAGATGAGACTTGTGCTTACCATTATACCTCCTTTGTTAAAAGTAGGTCTAAATAAGATGTTTTAGATTTTGTCCTGAGGGAAGGCTTTTAAAATGGAAAAGAATTTGCAGGTTTGTTACCTCAAACCCCGAAATGATTTGGCTGCAGAAAGAACAGGAAAGAATGTGTCCACGTTTCCCAAAGCAGCCGCATTCTGGCACTTATACCCTGCCTGCTTCCCCTGAATACCCTAGATAACACTGACATTTGCAAAGGGAAAAGCTTTTCTCTTTTTTTTAAAGATGGGAAAGAGGAAATCCTTTTTCTTAGTAGAGATTTTTTTCCCTTTAATCCTTTCCAAATTCAAAGGATCATCAAAGGAGCAGGTGCAGAAGCACTGGGGCCCAGACCCCCCCCCACACACACACAAGTCCCTGGGGCTGGGGGTGGTGGGAGCAGTGGGGGAAAGGCGAGCAGCCTGAGGCTTACAAAGGGCAGAGCCTAATTCTGCACGTCAACTTCCTGCTGCTTCGGCTGCTCGGTTCCCAGGAGAACAAGAAGCATTTTCCCTGTCAGCCGGGAACAAATTAGCATCTCTGATGAGTGTTTTCCAACTCTAATCTCTCTCTCCCTTTCTCTTTCTCCCCCTCCCCCGCCCCCTGTGTTTATGAAAGAAATCCCTCTGTTATGGCAACAATCTTTTCACGGGAGAAAGAAATCTGGCTCCCACCTTTCATATCGGAGGAAGACGTTGTTGAGGTCGTCGTTGACGTGCAGCAACTCCTCGGTGACCTCCTCATTGGACACGCGGGAGATGAGCTCCACGATGCGCTGCTGCATGGCCCGGCAGGTCCTGTTCAGCTCCTAGGGAACACGCGCACCTCTGGATAGCCTGCTGGGTATGCTTTTTGTCACAATCTATTTCCTTTGAAAAAAGCTGTACTGATTCTTAAAAGTCACAAAAGGAGAACATGCTTGTTCATAAAACCAGACGTGTGCAGAATGCAAAGTAGACGGTCCTTCTTCACCACTGCCTGCACCTCCCACCCCAGAGGAAACAAGTGCTTTTTCAGTAGACAGACATATGTCCATGTGTATATATCGGCACAAGCTTGTACAAATTATTTTTAAAATATTAAAATGTGATCCTTTGCAGCTTGCTTTCTCACTTCAACAAGATATTCCAGACACCTTTCTCCATTACTTGATACAGACTGCCTCACTCCTTTGTGTGTGAAATAATATATCTCACCATTCTTCTATTGTTGAGCATTTTACATTGTGGTCTCTCCCTTTTTGGCCAACCCAAATAATGCAGCAATGAACATCTGTACACAAACATGCTTACACACTTGGGCAAGCAATTCCATAGGATGAGTTCCTTAGAAGTGACATTTCTAGGTGAAGGGTTTTGAGCATTTAGATTATTAATGGGTAATAGTAAAAGGCCCTCCAAAAAGGTGACATCAGTTTATTTATATTCCCAGCAATAGCAGGTGTGTCTCTTATTAGGTACATTTCAGTGGCATGTCTGATACCTTGCTAAGGTCTCAGAAGCTCAGCAAGCTCCCATGCAGCTCCCCAGCTGACCAAAGAGGACATTTGTGCACCTGAAGTCACCAAGGGAGCCTTCTCTACCCTTGGAAGCAACGTACCCTGAAAACAGAGTCTCAGCACTGTAGGGCCTGGCTTCCCTGAGCCTTCCCTATTCCAGGTCGGTAGCCTCACCAATGCTCTCATTCAAACCAGCTTGTGGAGTTCCCTCCAATGCCTGCCCGGCTCTGTGCCATCTCATTTGCCAGACTGAGGATGCTATGGAGGGAGGGGCTGGTGACCCTACCAGGCTAGCCCCTCAGCATCCCTGACGACAGGAACTGCCTGTGACCAAAGCTCCAAGTCCCAATGTGTCATACAGGCTTAAAACTGAGGGAGACGCTCTTCCCACCTACCTGAGCACTGGAAGGATAAGGCATAAAGGAAGAGTCCCCCCTTTTCACATTTCAGTCGGGTAGAAGTCACTGATCTATTCGTAGCAGACGCAGGCTATCTCTGTTTAGCCCCTCGTGCTGTCTCATAACCTGGCTAGCTTAGCTACATCTTCCTTTCTACCCGATCATAAACTCCTTGAGGGGAATGCTGTCATTTATCCACTGGAGGAGGCCCTTAAGTCCTGCACTGAGCCTTGCAGGTGAAAAAGCCCAGCAGACATCTGCTGAACACATCACCAAAGTGGTCAAACAGCAAGGGAGGGACTCGAAGATGCCCCTTCTGGCATCCTCTATTATCCTGCAGCCCTACACTCCTACACAGGGGCTAGGCTTCTTATCTGCCTACCCCTCCTTGAGGGCAGAGAAGGCGTTTTCCCAGTGCCCATAGGAGGCACTTCCAAGTGCTTTTTTATTTTTTTGAAAGTCGGATTTATGGAGAGGACAGAAAAGCTCTCAGAGCAGAAGGGGATGTGAGGGGGTTGCCCCCAAGTGCTCTTGACAGAATTAACTAAGGAAGGCAAGCTGCACTCCTTCCATGCATTCAGTCCAGAGTATCAAGACAGTGTTCCCTTACAGGGTTCCACAGTTCAAGGGCTGTGTGTGTTCTGGGCCTGATCCTACAGGTAGGAGCAAGGTGGGGACCTCGACAGACATGCCTCTCATAGAGTAGATCAGCTCATGGTCAGCCAAACACCAGGTCTGGACAGTCTACTTCTGTTCTCTCTCCTCTCATGGCTGTTCAGCTCCCTGGGGCTCCTTCCCTGCAAGTGGGGAAGCTGAGGAAAGCAGCCTTGCCCATGTAGATCAGCCCAGAAGCACCCGAACACAGCTGTATTCATCAGAGCAGAAGGTTTCAGCAGCTGGGTACACAAGAATCTGGTGTTCACCTTAAGAAAAAAGGTTCCTTTGGAGACTCTCTGGCTCTGGGTCTGGTCACCTTGCTGGATCCTGTCTATCTGGCTATGGCAACGTTCCTCTTAATCTTGGTTCCACCCTATTCTAGCCCTCTACACAACCAGAATGGGGCTGTTAGTCTCTGGCCAAGCCCAGTTTCTGGATTGTCCAAGTTATCCTCTGAACACACTCCTATCTATTGGTTCTCCTAAGCCCCCCATCCTAGGTTTTGAAAAAGGCAGAATTATCTTTGTGAGTAGAAGGCTTTGAGCAAATCCCCAGACACAATTTCTCTCTCTACCCCCAACGAGGTGCTTCAGGTGACAGTGTCTCCCAAGAACCCACCCAGGTCACAGCTGCCCAGCCAGGTAACATTCCCACCAGCAGCAGATATGCGGAAGTGCCACAGATAGCCAAGCTGGGCTTTCCCTTCAGTCTGCCTTGGGAGCCTTGACTCTAAAGAGCTCCGAACCCCTGGTCCTTCCAAGCCACCAGCTCCACATCGCTGTCCTCTCTCAGGTATCCACTCAGCCTTCTTCCCACACTCTTTGCTCAGAGAGTTGGGAATTCTTGTTCTTCCAGAATCTAATTTTCCCTCTCTAGGACTCATCCCAAGCCAGAATTAATACCAAGAGGTGAACACTGGAAGTTAATCACAGAGGACACTAATATCCAGTAAAGAGAAAAGCTCCCCATAAAATGCCCATTCTCTTCTACTCTGAATGGCTCATATCCCCGGGGCCAACCAGGAGGAGGAGCTTGAGAATGGCCTGAACCTCAGAGGCTAGCCAGGTCTGGACTGCTGTGCAGTAACTGCCACGGGTACTGATGGACATTCACAGGTCCAACCCAGTCACCACTGGGACAATCACAGCGCACAGGAAAATCAGCAACACAGTGGAAACCCTAATTACAAAAATGAAGTGTGCTCATGATTGACACTAAAAGTTATGCCAGGCCCTCAACATTAAAACAAACAAAAACAAAACAAAATTAAAATGTCCAAACTTATGGAAAAAGCAATCACATTAGATCATGTGAAGGATTCCAACAGCCAGGGATGTAAAACAATCAAAGTATTTCTAATACGCTGCCAAGGTGCCATGAGCATCTGCTTTGGGCTGACAAAGGAACACTTGTTTAAGTTTACTTTGTTTATTTGTTTTTTGAGTTGGAGTCTCCACTCTGTTGCCCAGGCTGGAGTGCAGTGGCATACTCATGGCCACCCCAGCATCGACCTGCTGGGCTCAGGTGATCCTTCCTCAGCTTTCCAAGTAGCCGGAACTACAGGCATGCGCTACCATGCCTGGCTAATTTTTTGGTTTGTTGTAGAGACGAGTTCTTACCATGTTGCCCAGGCTGGTCTCGAACCCGTGGGTTCAGGCAATCCTCTCACCTTGGCCTCCCAAAGTTCTGGGATTATAGGCTTGAGCCACCACGCCCAGCCCAGGTTTACTTTAAAAGACTATTCTCCCCTATTTCTAAAAGAAAAAAAGATACCTGGCCAACACGTGGACAGCAATTACCCAGGGCTTTGGAAGGAATGCTGGAGGGCTTTGGAAGGAATGCCAAAGAGTGCAGAATGGAACAGTGAGGTTAGTTGGTGGGCAGAGGAAAGAGGTCGAGTGTCTGCCTCTGCCATCTGCCAGGGACCCTTCTGGGCCACGGTACGTGTCTCCTTCCTCTTTGGTATGTGTGTGCTAGTGTATGCGAAGACCAGGTCAGACATGGTCTGAGCTCCTCCTTGCTTCAGCATTCCAGGTGTCTGTGGAAAATCTTGAGCAAAAGGAAAATGAACAAAAAGATCTCTAGTCCCAGCTCAGGGCCCACTCTCTCCAGCAAACAGGCCCAGTATAGGAAGGTGTGGCCCCTGCCTGGTGCTTGTGGTCAGGCACCAAGTCCTGGCTGCCCTTGGCTAGGGAGAGAGAAGGAAAAACGTCAGTCACTTCCCATCCAATCTGCAGAACAATCACAACGTGCAAGACCTGCAAGTCAGGGGAGTATGGGAGCACATGGTGGAAAGATATCCAAGGTTGCCCTCCAGAAACTCGGGGCATCAGTGCTTAGAGCCCACAAGCCATCTCCAAATATACCTCAGGCACTCACCACATTCCTCAAGGGCCCCTAAGAAGTTGTCTGCAATGTTCCATCAAACTCCTACTCATCCTTCAAGGCCTCAGGATGTTTTCCCACTCTAGTACTTTATCACAAAAGTTTTCAAACATATAGCAAAACAGAAAGAATTTTTTTTTTTTTGAGTTGGAGTCTCACTCTGTCACCTAGACTGGAGTGCAGTGACCGCTCCCAGTCACCGCAGCCTCGACCTGCTGGGCTCTGGTGATCCTTCCACCTCAGCCTTCCAAGTAGCTTGAACTACAGGCACGCTACCACACCCGGTTAATTTTTTGATTTATCATAGAGATGAGGTCTCACCAAGTTGCCCAGGTGGGTCTCGAACCCATGGGCTCAGGCAATCCACTCATCTCAGCCTCCCAAGGCACGGGATTACAGGCTGAACCACCGAGCCCAGCTAACAGAAAGAATGTTTGCAGTGGACAACATACACCCCACCACCTAAATTTTACCATTAACATTGACAGTGTCAGCCTCACCACATGCCTGCCATTTATCCACCCAGAATGTTTTCTGGGGATCCCCAGCCACCCCTCCCTTCTCAAGACTCCCATAGTATTTGACATCTTTCCTGCAGCTGCCTCCAATCTGTTATCAGAGCTTCTTCAGCAGAACCTCCAGCAAGGGTGACCAGCTCCCACCACCCCAAAAGTGGAGGAAGCCCCAGTACAGAGTAGCCTCAAGGGTGGTTCACTGGATTCAGAGAAGAAACGAGCCAGATTCCTTAGCAGACCTCAGGAAGCATCTCAAAACATGGCTACAAACACCCAAGTACCAGAGGCACCAGAGGGAAGAGAGCAGGGGCTGACTTCAGTCTCCCCAACAGAGTGCTGGCCCCACCTGGGTGCT